GCCGTCTTCACATCTTCCGTTTATCAGGTTATCTGGCTAAAAAATTATTATTCCCTAGTGTGTTTTGTTTTTGCAAACTGAGTTAAAAATATACATAACTACATAACCAGATAACCTGACAAAGAGGCAGGTATAAATACCCTATATATGATTAAAATTATTATTTTTTCGGGGTTTACCGGCAAATTTTCACTGCATCAAATACCTACTTCTACCTTCTACACGATTTTGAAAAAGCTGCTCACGAATGACTTCATTACTAAAATGTTTGGGAGCCTATCAATCGGGAATCCATCGCTAAGCACGTACCTAATGGCTCAACGCCGTCCAGATTAACCAAACCTAACTTGCACAATAGTTACACATTTTTGTTGTTGTTGTAACAGGATACAAATTCCCCTAAGAGTATTTAGGGATGTTGCTGGAGTGACCGGATATGAATCTGGATCGTTCCGGTTAGGTAGACAGCCGACCCTATCCTGCCTTAAGGCCAGTATGCAGCTCTCAAGAAAAGCAAAAACTCCATATAAAATGACGTACAAAAAATGGCTAAGAAATTTTCTTGTGTAAAAATTTCTTGCGCCAGTACGCAGTTCTTAAGAAATGTGCTACGATTTCTACTACGGTTTTCTAAAGTTTTTTGTGAAAAATGAGCACAAAGCATGCTTGCAACATAAATATATGGCCCATTCCATTATTTCTTGAGGAAAGAGTGAGGCAACAGGCTGGTGAAGTATCAGATGTCAAAATTCCTTTAACACACACACACACGATATAATCAACTTTTTTCTTGACCGTTTTCTTCAGAGCTGTATACTGGCCCTTACTAACAAAAATTCTGAACTCGTTAATAAAAGTACTCGCATCAGTTCTTATGAATACAGTTTTTAAAATTTTCGGTGACACAATATTCGGTGACAAGCGGAATAGACCATATAACTTTCAAAAAGAGGTAAATCTGATCAGACGAATATAGCACATAATCGTATAATGCAATATCTAAATGCTTTCGTATAAGATGCAAAAGATAAAAGATAGATAAATTCCGCGAACAATCAGTAAAATAAAGAGGAAGTTAAAAAATCTGTTTCTCGACGTGGGTTTGAATTTTTATGTGTAACACTGTATCATAAGAAACCAAAACAACACTTTCCTCTATAAAAAATCGAAAGCGAATGAAATCAACAAAAGCACGCAACCCTGCCTTTCGACTGAGGAGACTATCGCGGGTAATACGAGTATAAAGTAGGCTTGTGGAAAGCGAATTCGTGACGAATTTTATTGAGCTAAACGCAAAGTTGTTCCTAATATCGTAAAGCAAAAGTATCCTGCCATACACTAGTAAAAATTCGTTTCACTATACAAACACATACACACATATGTACATATACATATATAGGTATGTACATATTTATAAGTAAAAGCATTTCATCGACTTGCTGTCGACCAGGCGTCACGTTTGGCCTAAATACTGGTAGTGGTACATTCCAGCGCTTTCAGGCTGGCGACACTGTGTCCCGTCGACCAGTTATGGCGCGCGCATTTTACCCTAAGCTTTTGACACATTTTTCGTTGTGCCAAACTTCAACGGAAGAAGGACGTTAATGCAGAGTTGCAGTTGGTGAGTACCTACGAGTTATTTTTGGACTTCAAACAATCAAAAATACCAGTAGGCAACGCTTTACGAATATTACAATGGATTTTAAGTACACATAGATTGTAAGCCTAAATATATGCCTCGTAATTTGGTGGGGGATCATTTACGGAAATATTCTCTGTATGGCAGATGGCCGCTGTGGTGTAGTTGTTAGTAGTGCGCGCGAGAATTCCGCAGTACCTAGATTCGAGCCCAGTTTCCGAATAACATAAACACATTTTTTTTTTTTTCAGCAGGTTATGGTAAATTTCCGTGTGTATTCTGCCATGAAAAACAGCTTCTCATAAAAAAAACAATCGCCGTTTGCATTCGGCGTGAAACTGTAAGTCTCTGCCTTTTGTGTGCAAACATCAAAGCGCACGCCACAAATCGGAGGAGAAGCTCGGCCAAACACTTACATATTGTGTAAGTGCCATTCTATTATTATTATTAAAGAACATGGTGGAATAATAACAAGGTGTTGTCAGTAGCGACGTGTTTGTTGTGATTTTGACAAGATGGGCATGCTTAATTTCAGTGCTGCCGATCTTAATTTTTATACTACTATTCGTTGGGAAATAGTATCTAAAATAATCCATTTTAGTAATTCGTTTTATCGCGATTTTTAAAGAACTTGGTGTTTTCAGAACAATATTAATATTTAAAATTGCTGGATTTGTATAATTTTTGTCCGCAAAAAGTAAAAACTAAAAGCAAACGTACACAAAAATCGTATCGAAGGCGATTTTTTATATTAAATAACTTTTGCTGCATTGTCATAATATTGAGCCAAATGAACTACTGATACACTAGAATAGAGTGGCTGCATGGTTAAATTAGGAATTCGCTTATATTATCGATATTTATTTGTTATAATCTGTTTAGAAAATCATTTACAGTCTTATAGAAAATCGCCTTATTTTACGGCTTTTTACTTTTTTAAAGTTACAATATATGTCCAAGCTGTGTGGAGCTGCCGATACAAACATATATTCAGGCTTACAAGCCTGTAATTATACATTTTTCTACATTTAATTTGAAATAGTATGCACCAACGGATTAAAGGTAGTAAATAATTAGTACCTTTTCGAGTACTTTAAAATGCGTGACCGGAATAGACCTGCCGAAAAAGTGAGGTTAAGTTATTGACAACACCTTGTTATTATTACACCATGATTAAAGAAGTCGTAAAATGTCATAGACTATGTTTGCTTATTTGAGAATGTTTGTGCGTTCACACATCGCTGGCTTTGAGTGAAAAGCTTAGCAGCTTTTTTGTGGAAATTCAAATTGTGATATATTTGAAGTTAAAAATCGTTTCCAGAAGGATTAAGGGCCGATTTCATAATAAAATTAAAGAATATTTTAAAATTTAAAGGATGCTTCATAAAGCCACTTTAAAGATAAAGGTGTCCTTTAGTTAAATACCCAAAATGGAAATTTAAATGACATAAAGGTACCTTTTGTAAGAAAAAAAGTTTGTTAGTTTTGTCGTTATAATTACATATTTACGACAATCAGCTGATGCAATTTTGCCCAGATCAGCATTGCCAACTTTGTTATTTCCATTTAAATTAACCTTTTGTCATTGTTCAACTGCCATTGTATTATGAAAACACTTCTTGTTTAAAGCGCATTTGAATGACACTTTAACTAAAAGCAAACTTTTGCAAAAGAAACTTTAACAGGCCTATTCTGCGTTGGTAACAAAAATTTTGTTACCAGTAAATAAAGTTCCCGGTAATTTTTAAACCCTTTTCGCATTCTGCACACTGGTAAATTTTGTTACCATCTCATAACCACATAACAAAATATTGCCCCGTGAAGTATGCAACACCAGAATTTATACAAAACTTCATAGCTGAATTGCTGAATAGATTAATTTGTTACCAAGGTACTTAGGATTGCGGTTTCAAGAAATGGTGTTATTTTTCGGTAACAAAATTTTCCGGTGTCAAAATGTTCGGTAACAAGCAGAATAGGCCTGTTCGTGTTTGATTATGAAATTGGCTCTAAGGTACTTTTTTATGTGTTCCCGTTTATATTCAATGTAAGATAAATTTACCTCTCTGAAGTTGGCCGGACAACTTTTTCCCAAAGCAAAAAGTCCTATCGGATAATTTGCCGTTAATTATCCGTGAAAATAATAATTTTGCAGCGGACATATTTAAAAAAAATGTCGCGTGCTCTTCCGTGGAAGATAGCAGGACACCTTCTGAAAACCAATTAAGGAAACAAGCTAACCCAAACTAACTATCTGATAATTGCCGTAAATTATCCGTTCTTTACTACGTGGGACTAAAAATTTTGTCGCAGACATATTTAAAAAAAATATCGCTCTTCCGTGGAAGTGAGCAGGACACCTTCTGAAAAGCAATTAAGGAAACCAGCTAAACCCAAACTAACTATCTGATAATTTTCCGTAAATTATCCGTGGGACTAAAAATTGGTTTTGGCTTTTTCAAGCTATAAAGGCATCAGCCCCGAACTAACTTTTCGGAACCCAACCCCTTTTTTTATTCCACTAGGATACCTACCATAAACAAATAGTATGACGCTTAAACTGGGCGAGATAACGTCAATCGGGCGACAAATTTTGACTTCCACTTTTCAAATATACCCACTTTTAGGTGCGGGGACCTTCTAGTTTTAATACATTCAGTGTTAAACTTAACTTTTTTATATTATTTTTAATATTAAAATCTTATGAACTACAAAACCGTTAAAAAAAATAACGATGTACAAATAAAGGTAATTTATTTATCGTTCAACTTATGTAGGTACCTAATTAATATTATTTATTATATTCTAAAGCCAAGAATACTAAAAAACGAAAATATTTCGTTATTTTTTTCATTAAATGAAATGAAAGCTTTACATACTATTTAATTATATAATTTTTTAATAAGGCTTTTTAAAAAATCGTGTTTGTTTAATTTTTTTTGCAATTTTTTTTAAATAAAATTTGATTTTCGCTAAGACTTTACCTATTAAAGCCATTCATATTTCCTATTGAATGACATCAAAAATTAACAAAAAAAAAACGTGCTTTCGTTTTCGAGATATTTGAATTAAAAAAATTCTGACTTTGACCTTTGGTAACTGTAGTTTTCGATTGCCATCAAACAAAATTATACCGGTATAACTGCCTCAAAAATCTCTATCGATGTCCCTTGCAAAAATTTGTCGCCCTCGTTATCGGAATCGTGCCTTAAACTGTTGTTATACGTGGTAATATCAGTTTTCCCCAAAAATGTAGATATATACCCATGTACATATGTAGGTATGTACGTGTTAACGTAGAAATAGGATGATATGTATGTTTGTAGGTACATATGTACATAGGTACTTCAAAATTACATACCTGCATGCCAATGGAACGAGCGGCAAAGTTTGCTTCAGCGATGGTCGCAAATTCTGATTGCGTTTCTCTGGCCAAACGTGGTCAAATTTCAGCTTGAGTCCATAGCGTGGAACTGCGGTTATCTCGTTCTGCTGCATCTCCTCATAATTTGCGCTTACCGAATCCATATTTGACTGCTGCTGGTCGGTCATTCCTAATGATTCCATTTAGTAGTACAACTTAAATTATCGTGGGAGCGTTCAAATAATTAGTCGGCTACAATTTTATTAGCACCAATCAAATTAATTTAAAAAAAGCAAGAAACGACGGCACAAATTGCAGCACAGAAAAATTTGCTGTGAAAACACACAAACACGTATTGTACGTACACACTTTTTTCACGATCACATCCGCAATAGAAAAAATCAATTCATAAATACAGCGGCGCTTTTGCTTTGCTTTCACTTTTTCTTTACAGTTCAAAACTGATTAAAACACTTTAAAAACGATAATAAACGACAAACACACAAATTTGTAATTACTTAATTATCCATTTTCCGCTTGAATTTACTCAAATAAATTGTTGCTTCACTACTTTTGGGCCCCCAATTTTTTTTTTTTTTATTAGAAAGCAAAACACGTGTTTCATCCGCCGCAATCAACCGCACTCGCTCAATTCCACGAAAGAACTAAAATGGCTCTGAAATTCCGTTGCTTTTGCAGACAGCTATGCGTGAAAGAGCGAAAAGCAACAACAAAGCGCATACGTAGGTATGGATGTGTGTGTTTGTGTGTGCAATGGTGGAGCAGCTCAGTGGGGTTTTTGTTTAGAATTGACGTGGAGCAAATTGGAAAGAGTGTGTGCGAGAGAATGCAGTATGGTGTGTGTGTGTGTGTGTGTGAATACGTGGAAGTGCAGAACAGCTGTTCGCAGAGCTGCCCATTGGCCGTCAATTGAATGGATTTTAGAGATTTCTATAATAAAATGAAGTCGAAAATAAAATAAAATTTAATAAAATACAAGTATATAATTAGAAAAAAATTTTAGGACAAGCTTTTATTATAACCGGTTTCACCAGTAATTTAAATGGAAAATGATTTTTTATTTTCTGTCAATTTCCATATAAAATTCAAAAAATTAAAATCATTTTTCACTTAATTTGCTTTCGGGAAATTGGCTGTTAGTTTTTAATAAAAAAGAAAAATCGACCCCGCACCACCTAACGGCTAACATTTTTGCGGAGTTATTCCTTTTTATGTAAGTTATATACATTCCGTTTATGAACCATATCGGACCATAAATACAGGTTTTCCAAATATTTCGACGCCTACGCAACCTAGCGGATTAGATCCTTATTCAAATTTCACTGAATTTCTGTGGAGTTTGGTTAAAAATTGGATGTAAGATTTTACTACACACAGGTCAAACTTAATAAAAGCTTGTAAAAATAAAATATGCCTAGTAAATAAAATAAAAATAAAATAAAGTAAAAAGAAATCAAAGCAGAGATGAAATAATGACGAAAATAAATTTATTCAAGTTTTTATTTGTAAACTGAACCTAACTTAACTTACCTTTTTTACCAAAATAAATCCTTAAGAGAGATTTTAAATAAATATTTTTATTTATTTTTTTAATTACATAACATGCATATACAACTAACGCTAAACTAAAGTTTTTTTCTTGCTTAAAATAGTAGCATAAACTAGTTTCCTTACGCATCTAAATAGTAATGCGAAAATTTTAACATCCATGCAATGATTTGAAAACACTGGTCTACAAGGGTTTTGCGAATAAGACGGGACCTGGTGTTTCCGAACGGATTTTCTTCGGATTCGACCCGTCATCTTAAATTTTTAAAATCTAACTGCAGATTCGTAATCAGCGACTTTTAATATAGTTAAAACCTTGGCATTATTAATTTTCTATGATCGTTTAAGATTAAATTCTTTCTGTGATCAATTTTTCCTGCACCCCTAAACACAAATACACCCCCTGCTTTAAGGGTGCACGCGATCAATTCGGCATAGGGCTCATTCGAAAGGGCACGGTTTAGCCTTTAATTTCTGATATATGCAAAATTTGTACCACGTCAGGGTTCAGCTCTATAATTTTTCGAAAATGGCCAAAAACGCTGTTTTTAGGGGTTTCAACCCCTTTTTTCTCGAAAACGTGACGTGATGGGACATTTTTGACCCCGGATTCGTGTTCAGCACGAAAAATCCGTTCAGAAACACCAGGTCCCGTCTTATTCGCAGAAAAAAAGTTGAAATTTGTAGACCAGTGAAATTATTACATTTTATGTGTTCCATACGGATTTCATGAACGAATCCTTTTAAAGTAACTAAATTCTAATAAATACATATATTGTAATTGTAATTAATGTAATGCTATTTACGAGAACAAATACTAAGTTTTATTTACAAACGATTTATGGACTTCTATGGACTGTGCATTGCATACGAAAAATTTTGTACTTGACAAAAATTCACAAAAAATGTGATTGCGTCATAAATTTTATGACGGCTAGAAATTATTATGTTGCTGTATTGAATTATCTAAAAATACGTTTTTACAGATATAAAAACTATGGCGCGTATTCATAGTTAAGTAGTAGTAAAGTTGCAACTTTTTGATAGCTATAACTTTCAATGGGATATCTGCCAAAAAAGCTGCAACTAACTTTAACATCGACCTTATATCGGCTATAAATAAATATGCCCCCGTGTCATTACTACTCCTAATGACACTTTGTAAATCCACTAAATGTTATAAAATTCAGCAATAAGTAAGTAAAAAAATATTAAATAATATACAAAACTAAATATACGAACACAACTGCATAATTTGCATATAATTATTGCTAAACAAAATAATTTAAAATAAAATAACTAACTAAAGCCTCTTCTTCAAATAAATTGAACGTGAACAAAAAATAAATATTATATGTACTTTAGTAAAAAAAAATATTGTAGCTAAATTAAATAAAAACCAACCATGAAATTTGTACATGCATATATACGGCTAACAATGTAGCCTGCTAGAAGAAATCGGATTGCTGAAAGAATTTTCTGGAACTATTTATTAGTATTATATATTTGGCAGCATAAAAGCCAATTGAAAATTTAAAAAAAAAAAAAAAACCTCCCTTACAAAAATCGAATTAATTTTTGAAATAAGAACATTGAAACTTCTACGAATACGGACACAAAACGTTCATCTAACTTAACTAAAAGTTTACCTTTTATGTACAACTTGATTTCCAATAGGGTGTGTAGTTTAAATTGCATTTTATACACACCCAAACAAAAAATTACTGCAATACAGCCTAAAAGTATGCCTATATTAATTAACTTAAAGCTTACTTTACGGTATACTTATAGTTTTCTTTAAATTAAAATGCAGTCACTGGTTCGTTCGCACGCACACATTTAGTACATACTATATTCACAATATGTGTGTAAAAACTAATAAGTAGATACATAAGATTTCTTAAATTAGTGCATTAGATACTACATGAAAACATACAAAAATGTAAATTTCTTTATTGGAAATTCTAAGTATTGGCAATGCATTAAAATTTTTTTTGTTTTTGTTTTATGCTGCAGGTAAGGGTGCGTCTTAAAATGTAAAACATCAAAATTTTGTATGGAACACACCTTTATTTCGGTCTACGTACAAAATAAAGACATCGAAGAAAATTGAAAAATTTTTAAATAATTTTTAGCGGTCGCTACTAGGGCTGGAAAACATTAAAATTTGACAAATTTGACATATTTTGTTACCATTGAAAAAATTAAAAAAAAAAATCCCTTTTGAGCTCCGGAAGTTTCATTATAATTATTTGTAATCCAGTGTTATTTCTAATTTAGAAAAATGCTGCATTTCTTTCGAAAAATTTAAACAAATGATAGTCTTTGGAGCTGAATATTGTATGATGCATCCATGAGTAGAATTAATATGGAGTTCCTGAGCTCAACACGCATTCTTAAATTTTTTCTATGGCAACAAAATATGTCAAATTGTAGAATTTCAATATTTTCATTCCCTGGCAGCGACACCTAAAAAATATTATAAACTTTAGAAATTTTCGTGGATGCCTTTAATTTATACGTAGAGGTGTCGCATACAAAATTTAGATTTTAAGACATTTTAAGAAGCACGCTAGTGCATGTGTATGTAAATCAAGTCGAATTCGATGTAGACATTTTGCGCTTATCACTTGTTTAAATATATTTAAGAACTCACGTTAGAATCTTCAAATACATATATTCCAGTTGTAATGCACTGTCGTTAAGGTTCCTGTTTTGGCCATTTTTCATTCTTAAACAAAGTTTTAAGTTTCAATAGATAGCGTGTTCGTAAGCGTAAATGCATTATGGCAGTGTCGTTCGTATTTTATCGACAATTAACAAAATATAAACTCTAGAAATTCGCTTCTTATTACTACCGTTGCCGTTACAACCGCTTTCCAGTATTAAAGTAAATTACAAATCACAATAAATAGTAGCTAGTATGCTCGTATAGCATTCAATCCATAGTTTAACGAATTGTCTACAGGCGTAGAACTTTTTCATTTTGCATTAGTTTTAGACCGCGTTCAATAACTAACAAATGGCTTCCAACTCTATTCTCCAAGGCTAAGATGCTACTGATTGCAACTCGTTTGTACTATTTTTAATCGGTTCATAAATTTTTTATCTACTTGCCAGGCGAATAAACTTAAATTGGCTGTTAGGAGACACTCATAATGACTTCTTTACAAAAGAAATAAACACAATTATGACTCTATGCGTCCTTTTTGCACCAATTCGAAGACCGTCTAGAGTGGGTTAGCTTTTGTAGACATTATCTTATATCACGACAGGCAGGAAAACTGTACATATCTACAATGCTTTAAGGCACATCCACAGTTGCATCCTCACTAAGTAATCATGGCTCCACTCCTGTGACCAGACATTCACTCAGCAGCACATTATGCAACTCATCCATATCGACCCAATCGCGTCTCTCCTGTCGTATGGACACATTGCGTATGCAGCCTTTGAAATTTTCGCGCGTCAGCAGCGTGCCAGTGGGCGCGATTTCTAAATAAATAGAGAGAGAAAATGATTATTTGCTGTGATCCTTTATGTCGGATTTACACTAGGCATTCAATGACAAACATTTTAATAATAAACTTTTGTAAGAATAGTCCTTAAATTCGTTTCAACAATGGCACACATTTTTTGCCATTTTATTTTCCAGTGAAATTCGGCATTACGCTCGTTATTCTTTATTGAAAACAGCGTTGGTCAACAGTTTTGATCCTGTACCAGTGTATTAACAAAAAAACTTTTACTTTACCGAGAACGCGCTCGGGTTTTGCTTTAGTTCTGCACGAGAACAAAATGTAATGCCAAGAACGTTCCAACAAGAGTGAACGCGAACAAAATGAGAGCAAAAGGTTCGGTGGCGTTTCCGTAAAAAAACAAAATGCGAGCAAAACTGTCGAGAACGTTCTCAAATAAGAACAAGTCTGGAAACGTTCTGCTAGAAAACAACGCGAGAACAAAAGTTTTGAAAGGGCGTCTGCGTGTTGGGTTGAAAAATTGTTTTAGTCAGATTCATGATTGTTAATTCGAATCCAGAAAGCAGGATCATTTCAACGTCCATATCGTTTATCACTAGTGTCAACTGTCCATTTATGAAACAATTTTTTTAATTTTCTGCGCAAAAAAAAGGTCGTGTCTTTAGTTTTTTGTTCACTTAATTTGCATAGTTTTCTTTTAGTTCTTTTTTGATAAACTTTAGTATTTCACCATTTCAAACTGATTCAACGCTATTAGAAAATTTTTTTTTCCCGCTTCCATACTTCATTAGTAGTTCGGAGAAGATTTGTTCGTTCTCTGTCAGAAAGTTCTTGGGACTTTAGTTCCCAAATTGTTCTTCGAAAGAAAGTTCCTCACACTTTTTCCTGTTTTCTTCGTAGCCAGAACGTACCGACAACTTTCATTCCCATTTTGTTCTTTTAGAAATGTTCCCCGATAGTATTTTTCGCATTTTGTTCTTTTTGGGAACATTATACAGGGTTTTTTCCCTATACATATGTATATAATTCCCGCTGAGAACGTTCCCGCCATTTTTTGCTCACTTTCATTCTTGTGAAAACACTTCCGAATGTTTTGTTCTTATTTCGGATTTGGGTTTTAAGGGTTCTTGGGAACAAAACTACGAGAGCGACATTTAGTTTCGATCATACCTTTTGTTTTCGGTCCCTGCTTAAAAATAAATCTCTTTGCGTGTGCTTATGAAGTATTACCTGGTATACCGCCTATATACAGCGCTGACTTAGTTTGTACTCTACTATTGCTGCGTTGCTGTGCTGATCTCGCCTTTGTGTTCGCCATCTGATCGATGCGTAATGTGATATGTTCGTAATCGTATAGCGCCGATATGTTATGCCATTTATTATCGCATAATGCATACTTGCTGGGCAGTTTTGATTGTACACGGAAAGGCATACCATCTCCAAGATCGGTTGAGAAGATGATCTGGAAAAATATTGAGTTAAGCATTAGAAGAAAATATAGAAAACTTAAAAAACTTTCGCTTACATTGCCATTATTGAGCTCGAGCGATAACGCTGGAAAACCTGACGGCTCTGAGATGCTCAGTAGCACACCGAACAGTTCTGAGGTGCGAAAATCCAGCTCGAATTCCAAGTATTTGCCAACATGGAAATTGCGTTCTGAAATTATTTGGGATTAGTAAAGTATTTTGGTTGTGAAATGGACTTATTTTTTGGTACAAAAAAACAAAAGAAAGAAAACGCATGGGATCCACGTTCCTGGTTCTATTTTGAGGCATATTCCATACAAGTCGTTGACTTTTGAATGCTTTTCCACGGTTTGCATTCGCAGTATACATCGACCTAGATAGAGGGTGCTTGAACAGTTAACTGTTCATATAACTATGTTCTCGAAGTCGAAACCGTGAGGTCAAAAATTCCATAAATCTTAACCCACTCAAGAAGTACGCTTCCAAAAATGCCGGCATAGTCTGCTAATGTGGCCCAAGTTATTTTTTATAATCCAGTCGTATCACTTTTTGGGCGAACTTTGGTCATGAACCTTCTTGTTTAATATTATATACAATAACTCAAACAAAGTTTTCGAAGTTAGCATTTTTTTCCACTTTGTGTCACTTGAGGGTATGAGCTCTTTGAGTCGACCGTTGTCATCCCGTGAAACCGTCAATGTAATCTCGTAAAAATTGATATTTCACTGTTTCATAATCCTGCTACCTGATGAAGTATTCTTGATGTTGCTCAATGTTGAAGCAAAATCGTTTTATCTTACACTACCTTATTACACAACACAATTATTTTCACTTACTATAAATCGCATAGGCATCACCGGGAAAATAAGATCCTTTCTCCACTTTCGGAAAGCATTGTCCAACATGCTGATGTTTACCAGGCCTCGCCAGATCTTGTGTACTATTATTGATGCTCATGCGTCGCAGGCAGCCCTTGAATGGCTCTAATCGTTGCAACAATTCCGATGGCAGCTTTGGCACCTTCTCCGGCAAACCACCAACGTAGACCACATTCGTGGCGGCAATCTTCTTTGGCACCTTCATTTGTGCTGATGTCTTCTGATCTGTCTGACCAATCTCCACAGACATGGTAACTTTGCGTTCCTGACACAAAATCGTCACATGATGCCATTCGCCATCGTCCAATTTGGCTGTCAATTTTAATTCTTCACGTCGACGACCGCGCACAATCAGCAACAGCTGACCATTTTTGAGTAGGAGCGCCACATAGTGCTTGTGTTTCTCCTTGGAGCCCGGTGCTAGGAAAATCAAACCGTTCGGGTAGAAGGAACGAAAATCGAAAGAAATGTAGAAATTACGTTGCCAGAAATTACGCTGTGGCACTTGCAGTTGGGCGTAACTGTGCGAGATATCGCCAAATTTGAAGGCGCTCGGCTCGTACGAATAGCTGCCGACCTGTAAAGTGGTTGGATGCGCGCGAGAGAGAAGGGGATAGAAGAGTTCAAATGCTTGTAGTATGGCAAAGGGGGTTGGGAAGGTGACGATGACGAATGGGTTTTGGAAAGTTTTAATTTTTCTTTAAATTTGTATTAATGTTTGCAAGTAAGCTTTTTTAGCCAAACTTTTCAGCAGAGCTTTTATGAAAATTTGTGCGGTTCAAAGAGCTGCCTTTCTATTTACGAATGGGAATATGGGAGCTATTTACAGACTTTTAGGAACCCAAATTAGTGTGTAAGAAAAGTTAGCCACTTACCAATTATATTTTTATTTTTTTAATGTTCTCTTAATTTTGTACAATTGCACCTTCACGCATCGCATTTTTTTGTTATGTGGAGCTTTTGCTTGCCGTGAAAGCGTTTTTGTTTTTAATTGGTTAGTGTTCCGAGAACAATTTAGTGAAGCCGAACAATGTGAATGGAGGTTAGTTTCCAACAAATAAAAAACTTTTTCGATGATTGTTTTTTGTTAAAAATAATGCTTTATTTAAATTATGTAAATGAAAATTTTTGTTAAATATTTTTTCATTACAACAACAAATTAAATACAATTAATTTAAGTAGTTAATATTGGCAAAATGAAGTCGAAATGAATTTGCTCTACATAAAATAAATTCTCAATTATAAATTAAAATACAAAAGCTTAAAGGCGGATTCATCGTTCTAGTTCTGTACTTTTTCTTCCATGAAGGTAAAGTTCTGAACTAAAACGTTGAATCCGCCTTAAGGAAACACAAAAAAGGCAATGTGATGAAGGTGAAATATGTATTTAGTCTACTTTGTGGCAAAATGATAGCTTTTTATTTGTAACCGATGAGCTTTTGATATAGTTTAGTTGAGCTTAGAAAAAGCTGTATGCGAAAATTACTTAAATGCTAAATGAAATTTTTAATAATGACAGAATAGAATGCGTCGTCATCAGTGTAAAAGGTCGTAAGTGGAATTTTGAGATTTTTTTTTATAGTGGAGAACTTTTAAAATGGTTCTATAAAAAGCTTTAACGGCCTCTTTAAAACAGCTTTTCAATAATGTAAAATTTTTCAAGTGGCATCACTTATGACCTTTTGTAATGACAACAGAAATGTGATACATACATACATAAAGAGCAAATTATGTAGGTTTCAGTACTTTCATTAAATATGGCATATAAATTTAAATTTATACTAAACATTTGTGACTTATAGAAGCCATTTAAGGGTAGGTATTTACAAAAATGTTTTCTAGGCATAGTACCGCAACCGTAGAGTGATTAAGGTAATTTACAAAATTTTAAATATTTTTTACATATAAAAATTAGCAATAATTACAATAGAATATGGCCTTTGCTTTAATATTAACTCAACAGCTGAATGAATTTTCAAGCCAGTTTTTGGAAAATTTAACGAATTTTCGTTGTCGTAAGGGACTCGATTTTGGATTTATCTATATTCAACAACTAAAATCCTATAAAATAAAAAAAGAAAATTCAATGATAATGTATGCTCGTGATATGTTTGAAGCATGCAGCATTGAAGTGATAAGCGTAAGTAAAGTAAGTAGCTGGTTTTAGTAATAAAAAAAAACTCAGTGCGTGTAGTCCCTACGCGCGGAAGAAGTGAAACTTAATAGAGGAAATTCTTCATCTTCATCTTCATCTTCATCTTCATCTTCATCTTCATCTTCATCTTCATCTTCATCTATATCTATATCTATATCTATATCTATATCTATATCTATATCTATATCTTTATCTTTATCTTTATCTTTATCTTTATCTTTATCTTTATCTTTATCTTTATCTTTATCTT